GTGTGTGTGTGTGTGTGTGTGTGTGTGTGTGTGTGTGTGTATATATATATATATATATATATATATATATATAGTACGAGTATATATTATATATATATATATATATATATATGTTATAGATGTATATATGTGCAACTCACCACTGTCTACTAGTGTGTACACATATATATATATATATGTGTGTGTGTGGGTGCAACTCACCTCTGTCTACTAGTGTGTACTCTAGCGTGCACATGGCCTTCTAAAATACAGAAGTAGGATTTCTTGTGGGGAGTTGTCGAGCCCGCTCAAAAGTTATGATTTTGGTTCTTTGTGTCGGGGTTGTTTTTTTTTGAAACTGTCAAAATAAAATATGAACAATTTTGTTTTTGTTTTTTTTCTAAAAACAAACCTGGAAAAAAACATCAACAACAAAAATGTAAATAAACTGTAAAGGAAAAAGTGTTTTTTTTTAAAAACCTGCAAGCCGGATTGTCTGGGGAATCGTTTTTGAAATGAAAACCCCCATTAAAATAGCTTATTTATGCCCTCTGAGATAAAGCCAATGGGCTATTATCCTACTCTAAAAAGCTAAAATATATTAAGACAAAACCATAAATTTACTATTTTAGATTTTTGCAAAGCTCGAACATTTAGACACCCACTGTCCCACTCCCGCTCCGTATTGATAGAGAATATTTGTTTTAAAAACAAATAAATATAATTGTCTCTTAGATACTCGCACTGACTCTTTGTTTCTGAAAAATGGTCCTCGGAGGCACACAGGCACCCAACACAAACTAATACCGGGTCACCAATGAAGGTCCAATATAAGCGTAGTAAAACCATACGGAGCTTGTATTGGACAACATAAACTACAACTTAAAATGTAAATGGGTTTTTCCTAAATAAGGTTTTTTCCCCTGTTCATGAATTAGTCTTGACAGAAATAATTCTTAGTACAAATGCCTTGAGCAGACACCACAATAAAGCACATATTCTAAGCTCTTACAATTGACAGTCTAACAACTTATCAGGTCCGCTACCTACTCAATTTTTTCAACATGACGAACACCAAGTGGAAGCCGGAAAACAAACTCAAAGGCCGTAATAATTTCAAGATGTGGCTTATGAACCTCACTGTCATTTTACGAGCCGAAGATATATGTGATATAATACACTACGCATTGAAGCCCGTCGGTGGCGGTACTCAACCCATCCTTCTGTCCACAATTCATCGTTAAGTGGTGGGTCTGTGCGCCTATGCACTAACCGGAGGAGTTCCACCCGTACCGGTTTGTCATTGTATTTTAGAGGGGCGTATCCGTCTTTATTCGCAAACTCATAGCGTTGTCCGAATATAGCCTTCACAACATACGGCCCAAACAGTGGCCGCATTGCCTTGGTCGTCCTGCCCTCCAATCGTACCATAACTACATCACCTTCGTCGAAATGTACCAAGTCATGAGCGCGCAGGCGGTCAAATGTCTTTGTAAGTTGGTCTGTATACTTTTTGGTGTTGTGTTTGAGAGTCGGAAGGATGGTATCCAGTAACTGGTCTAACCGTTGTGTCCAGGTGTCGTTCGTCATCGACTGGGTATCCATTAACTCATCAGTGAAATTGGCACATTTTACGTGACGGCGGCCAAAATATACGCTAAACGGCGCGCTCTTATGACGTCGGGATATTCGAAGGATCTGATAAAGTATCGTAAACGGAAGGCGTTTGTCCCCATTGTCGAATGGAACGTGTAATCTCCTTATGACGGCGTTCATCAGCACCCAGTACTTGGGGTTGATATGGTGGTGACACCTTATGTAGCATACCCACTTCTTGGACCAGGAGCTCCACTATCTTGTTGGTGAATTCATTCCCCATGTCCATCTGGATCAAGCGTGGGAACCCATGCTCGCCAAAAATCTCTATTGGTGTATGTGCCGTCGTCTCCTTCGTCTTGTCCGGTGTCGCTCCAAGGATTGAGTAGCCGGTAGCGATGTCCAGGACGTGCCGTATGTAATTGTTCTTCCGTCTGGACTCAAGCGGCATCTGGATATAGTCAACTTGAATATAGTCTCACGGGTAGTGTGCATCAATGCTAAACATCAGGTGGAAGCCTTTACGAAGCGTATCCTGTCCCAACCATGTAGCGCACTGCCGCTTAACCTCCGTTGCCAACTCGAGTGCACCCGGCCACCCATGACCGTTCTGACGGAGTTGTTGAACTGTGTCAGCCGCACCTTGTTCGTGGTGCGCTTGCATGAGTCGCGTACGGCGCTGATGTTCTTCCGGTGTCGGCAGCTCAAACGTCGGTTGACCCATTGCGTCCGCCATCGCCATCGAGATTTCTCGTGCCGTATCTAAACACATTACGTATGCTGTGTGTTTTAGTTTTGTAATATTCGGTCTATCAAGGCGATATTAACGCCTTAGAGTAATTAAACGCTTAGGTCAAGTCTAAATATAATTAAATTTGAAGTTAATAACCGAAATGAGTCTTTTAGTAAGTTAGGTATGCCTCGTGAAAACAGCAATACTATGAGGGATTGTGAGGCTGAGACATTGACTTTGGTTTGATCTGTTCAAGCAGTTGTTGCAGTCAGAGCCAGTGCTGGTCCCACGAACGTCACATACGAAAGCAGGACGAGCCTGAAATACTGTACACAGACTGTTGGCAGTTATTCCCCAGTTACTTTGAACAAGCGCAACAACACTTCGGTCCGAATAATATAGATGTATTTGCGGACCCAACTAGCGCTCAGTTTCCTCGATTTTGGACTAGAGACGATAAGGAGGGGGCGTTTGCCCACGACTGGTATACAGAACTGTAAAATCCGGGCCTCCACATCAGAATCTTGTAATATAAACGTACTCTTAATAGTATATAAAACGTACTTTTAAAAATACGTAAACTCTTATATAGTTTTTAACGGTTTTTATTAATTACATAGCTTTTCTATTTTACATATCAGATATTTGGACAAGGCCATTAAAAGGCCCCAGTAAAATACCATTTATAAGATTTGGTTTAGTTCTATTAATAGAACTATATTCACCTTCCATATCTATTTATATCTGAATACTTCGGTAGCGAGATGGCTTAACCGAATATAGGTTTCTAGGGACTATTAACGTTACCTAATTGATCCTTTGATCAGCCAATAAGATGTGCCAGTCTGATGAAGGTTAAGTCGATAATTCTTGATAAGTGGCAAGTTATTGGTTAAGACAATAACTAAGGGCATCAAGAGTATTTTTCTTTTTATTATTTTTTTTCAAAAGATAGGATTTTATGAGTTTCTCAGATTCGCCCCAATGAAACATACCATAGTTTCTAATAGAGCGACAACGAAACACTAAATAAAATCCCTTCGGCGGAAACAGTACTGAAAGGATTATATATAGGCAATGTCTCAGCCTCACAATCCCTCAGAGTATTGCTGTTTCAACGAGGCATACCTAACTTTACTAAAAGTCTCATTTCGTTTCTTTACTTTGATATTTTCACGATACTTAGAATTTAACTACGCGTTTATTTACTCTATGGCGTTAATATCGCCTTAAAGACCGAATCTTACACATTTTAAAGTTAGAAAAGGTATTAGATACTTAGACTACTTAAGCGTCAAGGTAGATTAACTACCACACAAAACAATCTTGTCCAAGCTAGTCCTTAAGAGATCAGCTAGCAGTCATAAGTTAAGATTATGACCAAGAAAGACTTTACACATTCTAAGAAACGTAGAGCTGAACAGAAGGAGTTGGTGAGAGAAACCGCTGCCGCTGCTGATGCGTTTAACCGCACTGTAGCGGAAGCACTTGTCTCCGACAATAATAGTCAACAGGACAATGCTTCAGATAAGGTTGTAGCCACTCCGATCAAGGAGACTACTCCCACTGACAGAGCCCGAGGACCAACTATTGCCTCAACTTCAAAGCTTGCATTTACGAAGCCAAGAAGTGAGACAAGGGACACGTCTCAAGATGCCCCAACCCATTCTTCTGACGAAATTCAGAAAGAAAAGTTCCCAATTATAAGGGAGTCCCCAATTATAGGGGACAATAACAAATCTCAGAAGGAACCTATAATGGAACCAGAAGAGGAGGCAAGCTCAAGTGGCAAACCCGAATCTATGTCCGAGACTACTAAGCTAACGCGCATAAGTAAGTTAATTACTGAAAACACTGATCTTAAGAATCAGTTAGCTACCCTTATGAAAGACTTGACCGTTGAACATGTAGATTGATTGTACCGATCAGGAAAACATACACAGCACTTACGCGAGCATGTTTCTCCGGGCATTACTGAAGCCCTCCAAAAGTGGACAGAACGTCGACAGGCAATTACGCCCGAAGAACGTAAAGACTCGAGCGCTACACCTGTGGCATATGAGCCAGTTGCGCTCAGCGTATCTATACCTTACGAGGTACTACCACCAGAACTTCAGGCTAATTACTCGCCTGTTCTGACACCCGACCGTGAGTCACCCGTCCTTGAAGGTATTATAGACCCAGAGGCAGGTAGAAATACTCCGCCACTTTTACCCAATTGGGATGACAATCGTCGAAAACCAGTTAAGACTGGGTATGTTATCCAGACGCATGAATCACCCAAGATTATAATACAAACCACTATCCGAGGAACAGAGCACCGAACGGCCTCGACAATGGACTTTACAAGGGGTAATAAACACCCCCGTAAACGTGTTAACGAAGTCGAATTTAATCACTTCGATCGCACAGCACTACATCAACCCGCAGAGGATTTTCACTCTGACGAGGTGACCGAACTTAACAAATCGGTCGACGATTATGCCATTAAAATGAAAATCGCCCACGATGCGCATCATGCTCAGGATGTATCATATTTTGCTAATATGATTGCAATTAAGCAAAAGCGCATCGATCAGCTACTTCAGGCCCAGCGTGGACAAGACCACAGGGATAACCAGAAGTACAAAGGACAGATCAGTCGACTTAAGTCGAACTGGGATGCCAACAGTAAGCAGGTCGAGTTTATAAACAACTATGACCTCGACACGCTAACCCGTACGCTTAATGCGTTTACGGCCATGCTGGAGACGAATGATATCGCTCCCCAGCAATGGATCTCTGCTTTAATGCAGACGTTTGACCCTACAGGTACAAGTTATTTGATCTTGCAGCGACACCAACATGAGCTAGACACTTGTCGTGACTGGCCAGCTGTGTGTTGGTTGGTTACATCCTTGCTAAGTAAGGACATGCGTAGCCCAGGACTGAGTTCAATTTTAACTGAACCAATTGAGAACACACCCATTCAGAGTTATATTCTGAAGCTAGTTGCTGACCTGAAACGTCCAGATATAACAAAGGACAAGGCACAGCGATGGTACGAGTTCCTGGTTATGCACGTGTTCTGTAGGAACATAGGGAATAACGACGGTGAGAGCCTGTACACCGAGTTGCGACGTAAACACGCGACTGAGGCTTGAGACAAGGGACATGAAACAAAGTTTCATCTATCCCGACTTACGTGGGAACAGTTTTATGATACTGTATCCACCCTTTTCCCCGCACACCGAGCAACATCGAAAAGAAAAGTGGCTGTTAAGAAGCCGTGGGAGCACACCGATCACGGATACGTATCCAGGCAGGCCTCAAACGAGAGACCCCAATATACACGTGCTCGCGACTCCACTCGATTCACGCGACCCAATAAACGAGCAAGCGCGGAGGCGAAGGACAAGGAACCTCCATTTAAGAAGATTAAGAAATGTGCCAACGCACAGTGTGGATATGACATGTCCCAATTGACCCCTAACGGTTATTGGAATGGCAGGCATGCATCCACCTGTAAACACTTTCTTATTAAGTGCGACAAGTGTGAGAAGACCAATGGCTATCACACTAAGTCTTGTGACAAAAAGCCAGGCATTAAGTTGGAGTGAAAGTACTACCAGGTACAATCGTTACAATTCCGTTTTAACGACGCGTATGTCAGCCTTGACTTAACCAAGGTGGACTTTACACAGTTAAAGTGTCCCTCAAGGAACTATGTATCCTGGAGACACGAGGCTGTGGTAAAAACACAAGTTGAGAAATGGCTAGCAGATGGAGCGATAGAAATTAACTATCAACAGACGCCAGTTAACTTGGCACTGCTAGCCGTAGACCAACATAACTCTGACGGATCGTTTAAAAAAGTCAGAGTATGTTTAGATATGAGTCCAATAAATAATTTATTGCCGACTGATAACTTTCACTTACCTCGTATTAACGAGCTACTGCGAAGGATGGAAGGTGCTATAGTATTTACAACTATAGACCTTACACAAGGATACCATCAAATGCAGGTATATGAACCACATCGTAAATACTTTAGTTTTACGTGGAAAGGTAAATAATACAGGTTCAGAGGCGCACCTTTCGGGTTGCACTCTTTACCAGCATTCTTCCAACAAGTAATGGAAGAAATGTTTGCAGACATGCCTAACGTGCAAGTCTACATAGATGACATAGTCATCTTTTCCAAAACTAATGGCAAACACGCCGCATTGGTCAGACGAGTCCTTAAGAAACTCAACGAGCAAAACTTCAAGATTAACGAGAAGAAATGTCACTTCGC